CTCAGATGAATGTGTGAACTATGTTAAGACTGGTAAACAGTTATTATAAAAAAAATATCGATTTTTATTTACATCGTTTGTGAATTCTCATTTAAAATGAATCATTATTATTACAGGATTGCGTAGAACAATTTTTCGACCTGCAATTGTTCAAAGCATTAAAGGTATATTAACAGCTGGAGTTATCAAGAGTAGTAAATATACTGCAAATAAATTAAGAAAATGGGTATCAAGACCACAATAATTTGTTTCTTTTATGAGGGTAATTTATTCAATTTTTTTTATTTTTGATAATTTACTTGGGAATACTTTTTGATTAAATAATTAAAATTATTCTGTATTCCCTTTCGTAGTATGACACAGGATCTTAAAATTTTTACAACGAGCAACGTCTCAACTGATTTAAGAGTTCATGATGCTGGCAGAATCTCATATCTTTTGAGTACGTTCGAAATGAAATATGAATATTAAATAAAAATCTCAATTACCAACTATAATAAGTTCATTTTATGAGTGTTTATAAGATTGATCATATATAATAAATGATATGTGCAAATTATTATAAACGTATATAGCAATTTCCATTATAACAGATTAAATTAAATAAAACCTAAGAATATATAATATTCGTTATATAATATTCGTTTTAATAAAGATTATTAATAAAGTTTTTGAGTTATTAGTTTGCGGCAAATATAATATATATAGCTCAGATAAATAAAAATCCACTTGTTACTATAATAGTTAAAACCAGGCCCATTGTTCCAATAACATAATCATCTCCAATTAATCTTGTATTATTTCTATTAAATTTCAAATTGAGGATCCCACAAAACATTTTTAGGTTGCAAAGCTTGAACCTTGAATGCTAAGGCTTTTAAAGTCGCATATGTTTGAACCGATGAGCTATCGGTGCTTAAACTTTCACATGTGTGATTGTTTTTAAATATAATTTTTTGATTAACATGAATATCAACTTTCTTAGAATCAGCCAAAAATTGTTGGATCCCATTCGAATTTGACATATAGGCTGTTGAAATTTTAGAATTTTGGTAAATAGAGAATATTTTATCTGAGATGGTTTAAGCTTGTTGTAGTGTTTCTTAATAACGTTAAGAGGAATTATGAGGTAATCAATTAAATGACACATGATAACGATAATAACACTTATAAACATTTAATTATTTAAAATACACGTACCTAGTAGCATAAGCAGAAATTGTAGCATTAAAAACATTACTTCCTGAAAGATCGCGAGCGATCAAAGTAGTTTCAATTCCCCTTAATCCATTAGTTTCCTCAGTTTTTTTAATATTACTCCACAATAAATCTTTTCCGATAAAACTATATAAGCTTTTACTATCTTTAAT